GGGTCCGTCCTGCAGAGGACCATCGACTACGCCGCTGAGGTAAGATTGGTGTTTTTGCTCAATTTACCTAACAGGTTGCTCGGTCTAACTTCTTATTTGTACCTTTTCTCAGGCATTTGTTGCTTCCATTCAATCGGCTCTGGCTGTAAAGGCCGAGCTGGATGGGAGGGAAGTTTTGGCAGCGAGGGAGAAAGAGGAGTTCTCTGCTGCCTTGGAGGCTGCTTCCTCCACCATGAAGGATGAGCTGCTGAAGGCTCACTCTGAGGTGGAAATTTTGAAGGCCGAGGTGGAGACCAAGGCCGAGCTGCTGAAGAAAGAAGAGGACAGACGCAAGGCCCAGCTCCAAGCTGCCCATGCTATCACCAAGGACTTGGAGAAGGAGAAGTTCCAACTCCTCAAGGAGAAGGACAACATGCTCCAGGCGCTTGAAGCGAAGGAGGAGGAGCTGAAGCATGCGACTGCCGAGCTGGCGACGGTGAAGGAGCGTCTCAGCAATGGAGCCCTATTGGAGGAATCGTTTAGGCAACATCCTGACTTCGATGGATTTGCCAAAGACTTCTCTGACGCGGGCTTCAAGTTTCTCATGAAGGGCATTGCTTCCGACATGCCTGACCTTCAGATTGATCTCGGTGGTCTGAAGAAGAGGTATGCTGAGCAGTGGGCGTATGGGCCTAGCGGCACCCCTGGCCCCCAGGCGTTGGTGGATAAGTATGTCAGAGATCTGGACTCTGACTACTCCGATCTCGAAGAGGACCAGGTCGGCACCACTCAGGAGGGCGCTCCTCAGGCAGGCTCTTAGGCAATCATCCTTCATGAGGCCTTTCTCTGTCTTTCTTCTTTTCTCCTTTTTTTTGTTTGTAAGTGTCAGGGAAGAGCTGCAAGGTCTATAAGCCTTGGCTCTGCTCTCCATTTAATGAAGAAGCTTTGTTCGTTTTTACTTTGGTGTTGGCAACATCTTTCCTTTCTTTGCTTTTTCTTTGAACTGCAGCCAATGTCACCWCGCACCTCTTACTTTTGAGGTCGCGCCTTCAATTAAAATAATTGAAAGTTTGAATTTGAATCTCTGTCTASCATTCAATGCATTRCACCAACTCTGGATTTTTTAACATCGCACCCTCAACTTMAAAAACGTTAAAAGGCTAAAAYCCTAAGTCCGTA